GTCTGCAGTATAATTTCAAGGGTAATAGAAGGCTAATAGAATCCACTGGCCTGGGAGGAACTTTAGTACTTCCCTATCTGGCTATGTTACTGCCATTAGAATAACTAGTATGTTAGACAACAGGTTCAAATAACAATGTGCAGAATATGTACCTGGATAGAGGTGGAACATGAGCACTAACACATCAGCAAGGAGGGTGTATCAGACTAGTTGGAATCTTGAGAATTAAAAACATAAGCCTACAGTGGCATCATGAGAATGTGAGTCAAAGTAAAAAGGCCAAAGTCATGGGGGCAGGGGGTGGAAAACACTGGCTGTTAGTACAGGAAATGACAGGAGTGGGCTTTGGGGCTCTGGGTCCTAAGCAGGTGGTATGAAGTATGCAGAGTGTTGGGAAGCACACCTCAGATCAGCAAATGCCCTTGAACTTTGATTCTGAGACATTACTGATTGATTTTGAATGAGTAATAACAGTTCTTCAAGGAAAAGACAAAAACTTAATATAAGTATATTACTTGGATAGGAAGATGCATCTTAACTTCAGAGTATTTAAATATGTTAGAATGGTGATATTTGAAATAGGGTAATATGGCATATCACCAGCTGGAAAAACCTGAAGCAATTACCTTGGATTAGACATGGCAACCAGAAGGAAATACAATGTGAATTTGCAGAGACACTTGAGAGTCAGAACACAGACAAAGAATCATGAATATAAAGGGTAAATAGCCCAGAAGAAAACTCAGTTTTTTCAATAGAAAAACAGATAGATAGACAGATCTTAAAGCCATCATTAATAAGCCTACTATTTCTGTAATCATTAACTGAAGCTGCTAGAAGTTTTGCTGCTATTCTTCTTTTTTTTGCAGTTTTTGGCCTGGGCTGGGTTTGAACCCTCCACCTCCGGTATATATGGGGCTGGCACCCTACTCCTTCAGCCACAGGCACCGCCCTACTTTGCTGCTATTCTTATTAACAGGAGAGTCATCTAGACTTCACATCTTAGTAACTTACCAATCGTACATCTCAGTCCTCTCCACTGTTCAGTACAAATACATCTGCCATTATTCCAGGTCCCACCATTCTTGCAGAATTCTGTAGGGGTGCTTGATGGGGAATCCCTTATTCCTAAAGAAACAATAAGTAATGGAAAAATATGTGAACTGGCTGATAACTTTCTACTTTTATGCCTGTGGCCATTTAATTTCCACGTATAAAACCACTGCTTTGAGAATCTTTTATTTAAGTATTTTTTTTTTTTTTGAGACAGAGTCTCATCTTATCACCTGTAGAATGCCTTGGTGTCATAGCTCACAGCAACCTCAAATTCTTGGGCTCAAGCAATCCTTTTGCTTCAGTCTCCCTGGTAGCTGGGACTACAGGCACTCACCACAATGCCTGATTATTTTATTTTAAGAGATGGGAGTCTCACTCACTTGCTCAGGCTAATCTTGAACTCCTGAGCTCAAGGAATCCACCCACCTCAGCCTCCTACAGTGCTAGAATTACAGGCCTGAGCCACTGCACCCGGCCTTGCTTTGAGAATCATTGCTGAGAAATATCCTTTTTAATATCATTATCAACAAAATATACACTGAGACTCAATACAGGACAAACCACGCTTACTAGATGTTACGGATACCATAAAAAAGACAAGACACTTTGATCAAGGACATTAAAACCCTGTGACAAAGAGGACATGATATAGATAGTGGATAGGTGATATATAAATAGATGATACAAACATATATACATAGATAGGTGATAGATAGACAGATAGATACATAGAAGACAGATAGATAGATAGATAGATAGATAGATAGATAGATAGATAGATATCAAGTCAATGTGAAGACTTACAAATACTGTAAGAACACAGAGGAGAGATATTAAAGACAGAGGTAGCCTAATCAGGGAAGACTTTCCAGAAGAGATTGTATTTGAATTTCATTCTAAGATTAAATCTGCAAAAGCCAGATGAAAATGGGTGATTCAAGCAGGCAGGATAAAAAGTGCAAAAATGACAAAAACCTGGAGAAAGGTCATATGTGTCCAAGGAACAGAGAAGGGTTTAACATACAAGGTTGGGTAGTCAAGTTCACAAACTCATTGTAGAAAAAGTGCTACACATCTCATTGCTGAAAATCATCATAGTGATTTTTGCAGTTTTTGGCCTGGGCCGCGTTTGAACCTTCAGAGTACTTCAAAGGTGACTGTAGTGATATTCAGCAATGAGGTATGTAGCACTTTTTCTAGGGTGAGTTCATGAACTTAATTGTCCGACCTCTTATAGCATTGGTTCTGTGGAACAATAGCATGACGTAGATTGAATTGTGAGGGGCTTAACAGACCAAGCCATTATTCTTCCAGGAGACTTTCATGGGTCCTATTGGTAAAAATATTCTATAGGAAAATTTCACAATTACTTCTTGTATGATCCTGGGGCGTCATCAGTAGTAGTCTTGAACTAGTTTTATGATAATTTCTTACTGGATGTTTCTCTACTGTACAGGTAGGACAAATTCAGATTTTATAACCTGGAAGTTTACTTGTAGTGACTTTTTTTTCTTTTACTAGTGGCCCTGAACAGATGATAATGTTATGTATTGCCTCTGTGGGCTAACGAGACGAATTTTTCTAGTCTCCCTTTCATAGTTGAGCCTACTCCTTAACATTTCAGATGTTACTCTGGTGGCTCAGGTCCAACTTCCCCAACTCTCAGAGGATGGAATTCATGCCTCTTGTACCCATGAATGCATTGAAGCACAACTTCTAGGGCTTATGCCAAGGCCTGCTCAACTTTACAGTATTT